TGTTTTCTGAACAAATACCGAATCAAATAAAGAAATAAAATAAATAAATAAATATTGTATGAAAATACCCTATATTGTACAAACACGAAAAGATCAGGTTTTTCACGACTCTTGGAGTCGTTTTCCTGCAAACCAAAATATTCAGCCAGTTTTTGGGGGTGTAAAATAAATAAATGATTTCACAAACATTACAATTGAACGAGTTGTGAACTCCGTTTTGACGAGAGTGGACAAGCATCACCCACCGATATTTGCAACATTTGAATGGCATGAAAACACTACAACCTCTGCCTATAACGACACGGTGGCATTCAATTTTAAACGAGCTAACTTTGACGAGATGAATGCTCACCTGGCTAACATCGATTTCAACGAGATGTTCCATGGAAAAACACTCATCGAAAAGGTCGAAATTTTGCATATGACCTCAAACGATGCGATTACCAAATTTGTACCAACGTACATCGTCAAGCCAAAGCAAAAATGTCCGTGGAAGAATAGTCTCCTACAAGGGCCAAAAAAAGGGAAACCCACGGCATGGAAACGTTACAGACGGTCTGACTTTAATCCGTACTTCGAAGGGAAATATATTTTAGCATTCCATGAATTTGACAAACTCAACACGGAATTGTACAACGCATACGTGGACAAAATGAAATCCTCGCTCAAGCATCATTTTGGCAATATGTCAATTCGAAGAAGAGTACTGACAACAAACCAAAAGTCATGCAATTTGGTGATGTGCGCACGGCAAACGAAACTGAACAGGCGAACCTTTTTGCAAATTTCTTCAGTAGCAACTACGATGACCAGGGCAACCGAAAATATTTATTTAAATAAAAAATATTTAAAAAAATATTTTGGCCATTTTTGAAAATAAATAAATATTTCCCAATTTTCGAGGTTTTTGATGTCTTTTCAGAAATATTTTTGAGTATTTTTCAAGCAATGATAAATATTTTAGATGTAGGTAACATAAATTTTACAATAGAACATGAGTCATATTTCAAGACAAAACATTGCAAATGCACTTTGCACGTCTCTACATGATTTTGCAAATCGAAGATAATGGAATTATATCGAATTGTTGATCAAAACCAAAAGTTGCGATTCTACAATATGTGCTATTTCGACAGTATTCAGTGTATACATTACTGTGTAGACGTTTACAAATTTTATTTATCAGCTGATCGAACGATCGCTTGCATTTGCAAATGTGTAGTCATCAAATAATTTATTTTTATTTATTTACACCGCCAAAAACTGGCTGAATACTTTGTTTTCAGGAAAACGACTCCAAGAGTCGTGAAAAACCTGATAATATGTAAATAACGTTCTCGCGCACTAATAACTAATTGCCTCGAACGACTCGATTTGACACTTTGAATTTCGTTCTCATTTGGAGACTGAAATAGACGCTTTCAAATTTGCTCCAATTACGTCAACCGATGTCGAACGTTCATTTTCCATGTACATTGTACAAGAATGTTTTGCGTGACAATCGACGTTCATTCCTTTTCGAAAATTTAGCTAAACACGTTATCATTTTCTGTAACAACTTCGAATAATACTTAACTGTCGAAAATGTCAAGAAATATTCAAAATATAAGGTTTTTTCCACTTATTTTTATCGTAAATATTTTCAGCTTGTTTTTAGTTTATCGTAAATATTTCGATGTTTTTTCGTGCATAAATAAATAAATATTTTGACTTTTTTCGTAAATATTTTCGGTTGCCCTGACGATGACTCAACGACTCAAGGCGTTCAAGAATCGCCTACCGTTGAGTCACAGCAAACTGAGGAATTTCAGCTCGACATTAACTTCGTGTTTGAGGAGTTACAAGCCGTGAACACAAAAAAGGTACGGGTCCTGATGGTATATGATGGTGGTTGATACTAAAGAATTGTGCGAGTCATTTGGCAGCTCCACTCACGAAAATTTTCAACGGATCATTGTCGAATGGCCAATGTCCCGACAAATGGAAGCGCTCGAGTGTGTCACCCATTTTCAAAAATAGGGCGAGATCGAAAATTGAAAACTATCGTTGCATTGCTAAGCTCCAAACTGTGGCGAAGTTCTTTGAGTATTTGTTGAACGTCAAACGTCAGTAAAGCGTTTGACAGAGTTTACTACAAGAGATTAATTCCAAAACTCAGATCGTTCAATCTGCCAGACAACCTTCTTGCTTGGGTGGAATCATACCTGTCAAACAGAACGCAATTCGTTAAGTATGGGAGCAGCGATTCGAACGAATTCAGCGTTTCATCTGGCGTACCACAGGGAAGTCATCTCGGGACCATACTATTTCTCCTGTTCATCAACGACATAGTGGACGAAACGGACGACTTGTTCATTTCCTTATTCGCCGATGATGTGAAGGTTGTCAAAATTATCCACTCGAGTTCGGATGCTGCAGTGCTACAGCGGGCCATCGACAAACTGAAGGTTTGGTGCGACGTAAACAATTTGCACCTAAATCTAGACAAATGCGCCGTCCTTACAATCACCACGAAGAAAAAGGACATTATCGATACTAATTACAAATACGGTGATTTCACCTTCAAACGCGTATTATTATTATTATTATTATTATTATTTATTTGGTTTCTTTATACTTACAACTAAATTATACAATGGTTGAGATCTACTATTGAAATGACTTTACATGTTATGACCACACTACTCCCAAATCATTAGACAAAAATTTTTTTCTATCATTTTGATTACATTTTTAATTTTTGTTCGAGAATATTGGGGTATCTAAATAAATTACCAGTCCATATATATACAATTTTAGGACCAAATTTAAATTTATTGGACCACAAAGATCTCGGCATCATCATTGACCCAGAAGCTGAGCTTTATCAAGCACATTGACGCGATAACATCGAAGGCGACAGCGGCCCTTGGATTCATCAACAGATTTTGCTACAACATTACCGATGTTCAAACGCTCAAAACATTGTATTACGCACTGGTTCAGTCTCATCTAGAGTACTGTAACGTTGTATGGCTACCAACTTACGCCACCAACTTACGCCGTGCATATCGATTAAATCGAGAGCGTTTTTAGGAAGTTCACACAGTTCGCCCGAAGAGAATATCGAACATCAGCCAACGGACACAACATCACCGACGACAACAAGCGACTGGAGGCTCTAAGCATGACATCGCTGGAACTTAGGAGAGTGAATGCTTCCATTGGGTTCATGTGTGATATCGTGAATGGCAATTGGAGAGATTGTACGCTTGTTAAGGCACACTGACTACCTAAAAATCAGGGATGGGCTATTGGACAAGCAAACAAGAGCTCAAGTGCCTCACGTGTGCAAATATGCAAATAAAGTGGCTGATTCATTCAAAAATTCAACCAGCCGTGCAAATTTCATCACATGAGTACGAAACTAAACTTTTAATATAAAATATTGACAAATTGTTTTCTTACATAATTACCTAATGTATAGAATTAATGCATCACTGTGATTTTTACACCACTTTATCGTAAATTTAACAACATTGACTGTGATATAGCCATCCATTGAGTTGGTGTTTGTTTTGACCTATTATTTGTTTATGATGGAAACTCTAGTTCTAAGAAATTATCTCTAAAAGTTCTAAGAAATTTTTTTTTAAATCGTTTTTCGATACAACGTACATTAATGTAGATTGATGGCAATGAAATATTATATGCGTATTATTGTAAAAGAGATTTTATTTCATGTAAAAATGAATAAATTGAAAAATTCATAATTCGCGTCAGGACAAACAATACATGAGTGAAATTTGTTTTGAACGAAAGAGACTTAAAATTGGGGAAAGAATCAAGTAGATTGGCTTTAGATAGACTAGCTTGGAGGAGAATTGTTTAATTAAATTGTTTAAGAATTGTTTAAGCTTGAAACACTGATTTAAAACGACCAGACAGTATTGATGGTTTCTATACAGGTGGGCGTTTTGCGATTAATTGCACAATCATTTTTAAAACGATTAAGATGCCACTTAATCATTTAATCGCAATTAATCATGATTAAGTGATTGTGCAAGAGATTAATTAATCATCGGCGATGATTAACTTGTTGTATTAATCACGATGTCGCCGTGATTAACTGCACCAACTTAATCGTGATTGTGTAAATAGTTAATAATGATTAAGTTGTGATTAACAAAAAGATTGTGTAGAATCAATTAATCGTCGCAAATTTTACGGGCGAAAACCGACCATCACTTCGTATTTCTGCATTTATGGCGTCGAAATACCAATAATACCATGGTTGACTCGATGGTTCATACCATGGTTGTACTCAATTTGCGATCCCATTCACGATGTCATACGTGAATACAATTGATGCATTCACTCTCCTACGCTCCAACGATGTCATATTCAATTCCTCGAGTCGCTTGTTATAGTCGGCGAAACTATAGCCATTGGCAGCTGTACGGTACTCTCTTCGGGCGAACTGGATGAATTTTCTCAAAACGCTCTCAATTTCGTCGATGTGTACGGCATAAGTTGGTAGCCGTACAACGTTACAGTACTCGAGATGAGACTGAATAAATGCGTAATGCAATGTTTTGAGCGTTTGAACATCGGTAATGTTGTAGCAGAATCTCCTGATGAAACCAAGGGCCGCAGTCGCCTTTGATGTAATTGTGTCGATAAGTTTGATAAAGCTAAGTTTCTGGTCAATGATGACGCCAAGATCTTTGTCGTCTGATACGCGCTTCAATTTGAAATCACCATATTTGTATTCAGTGTCGATGATATCTTTCCTTTTTGTGGTGATTCTGAGGACGGCACATTTGTCGAGATTTAGGTGCAGATTGTTTACGTCGCACCAGGCCTTCAGTTTATCGATGGCCCGCTGAAGCACTTCTGCATCCGAATTCGACTGGATGATTTTGGCGATTTTCACATCATCAGCGAACAAGGAAATGAACGTATCGTCCATTTCGTCCACTATGTCGTTGATGAACAACAGGAATGGTGTTTTTGAATTTTGTGTTGCGATCACAATTTTTCATGTATTTGAACTCCAATCAGTCCAGCGTTGTCATATGGTTGCTGCATTTTCATAAAGATAAAAACTGAACCACCTAAGGCGTAAGCCCATCTTAGGTCTCGAAGAATGTCGCTTCCAAATGATGTATTAATCAAAAACGACGAGATCAAAATTTTATTATATTTTAGAGATACGATTTTTTTTGGAAATGACCAAAATATTATTTGTGTAGTCTTTTAAGAGCTCTATGATGACATATTGGATTTAGTACTGGTCGCAGTTATACACTTCTTTCTGCTTATTACACGTTAGCCACAACAAGAACTACTGTTTTTACAAGAACATTTTGGAATTTATAAACAAGTTCGGCAGACTCATACGAAGCGAACAATCATCACATAAAGTGTGCAGTCGATGTAGCTGATTATTGCAAAAAGAATGTTTGCAATAATCAGCGAAATATGTTCGCCATTTCGCTGTCTACCAATATGTCGAAATTAATCCGTTCTCTACCAAATGTTAAAAAATTAAAACATTTGTAAAGAGTTTTTTGGAAAAAAGTTTAAATTCAGTCATTTCGAAAGAAAAATTGCTTAAGGAAAGGTCAAAAACATGATCAAACTAACGAAGTCTTACGGACCAATTTCCGATTTAGAGCGGACCATTTGACTTTTAGAACGGACCATTAAAATAATTCATGCTCTATATACTATTTTTTTATGGAAAACTTTTTTCAAAAGCATTGCTCCATTAATTTACACCAGATCGATTCGGTATTTTATCAAAAATGCCCTTTTATATGTCTGATGACATTCAGTTCCCTAGTATTTTGTACAACAGTGCGGAAAAGTTCGTCTTACATCGGTAAGATTCTTTATTTTAATGTCTTTTGGTCTCAACTAAATTGTAAATTCATAAATTTTTGATATCACCAACATTTGGACATTTTCGTTGTCAAATCGGCTACTTACTTATTTCCATGTATTGGTTAGGTTATTTTGTGTTGAATGTTCATAGACCATATCCTTATTCCAATTGAGAAAGACCACTATAAATACAAATTATTTACTAATATTGTACAAAATCGAATTCAGCGAGTGATTTTCGGTGTAAAATGAAATGAAAATGAGGGGTCGTAATGCAATTGCATTCTACAAATTCTTTGATGTTGAATGGGTGTGGATCATTCGGGTTGTAAGGCACTCCAACCTAATACAGCTCCGCCAACAGTATTTCCAATTTCTGTTTGGTATTTGCATTGCCACGCTTGAAAACTCTTCGTTTGTATGTGAAGTTGATGGTATTTTTGATGTCATCACCATTGAATAATTAGTCCAACTGGAGTTTTCCACACAGACACATATAAATTCGTAGCATCGCATTTTGTGGAACTTTCTGAGATGCTGTCCGCAATGCGTTGTAAGATTGGTTTTGATGTTTGTGGCGTCGTTCGTGCAAGCATTTGAACGTATTGCCGGAATACCTGTTCATTGGCCATGGAAACCATGCACCAAGAATGTTGACAACCATTTGCCTGGAACCTGGTCCATAAAGATACGATCCTTGATATAGTTTTCCATGAGCACACCGTAGAAACACCTTTTGGAGGATTCATCGCCATCGTAGTTGAAGAACTCGTTGTTGAATTCATCGACTGCTAGATTCACCTAACAAGAACGATGTTTCTTTTGTTCAATGTGATTGAATCTAATCGGTTCAAAATAGTGTTGGCCGTCGAACACTTTCAAACGCTTAAACGGCCGTTCGAAAACATAAAAATGGTTTTCTTCGGTCGTTCGTTCGAAAATTTAACTATGGCTTTTTCGACCGTTCGGTTTTTTTACATTTAAAATACATACGAAGCAAAATATATTTTGAATTCTTTAGGCAAAAATGAAACGACGATTTTGTCATGAAAGAAGACTCTTCTTTCGACTGCAGAATGATCAAAGATAAGAATGTTCATCTTTAGCGATTTTTCGCGATCATTTTGGCGGTTTTTTTGCGATTCTCTTTGCTAATTTGACAGTTGTGAACCTCTCCTCACTTCCATTTCCGCGAGCTACACGGGTCATGATGAATAACTGTTGAACAGAAAAAATAATTTTATTGGTAAACTTAACTACCTACGCCATCAACATACAGATGATAAATTATTTACACACTCAGATAAACAATTTATCATTTTACTCTGTGGTTGTTACACATTTCCTCAACCGATGCCAGATTGCGTTGGATGAAATAAAAGAGAAGTGAAAGCTGTGCGTTTTCTACCCAAAATCACGCGAAATGTGAAACCAATACACAAATCCAGTTTCTTGTAAGATGTTTATTTACAGTTCAGTTGACACAGAATGGTTGAAATATTGTCATTTCGAACGTTTGAATTTGACAGATGCTGGGTAGCGTTCCGAAAACATATATTCCAAGTTGACAGTTTTTTGCTTCGGAAGTGTGAATGTCGACTGCTCCGATTGGTGTGAACACCATTAATTGATATAGAATTCTTCTCTCTTTAATTTAAAATCTACCATTTCTCTTTTAGTTTATCAAAAACACCCTATTTTACATCGCTTTCAGAAAGGAATTATTGCAATCTAATTTTCCGAATCCGATATTGGAATTATTATAAAAAAATAAAATAAAAGAGATGTCTGAAAAAATTGGGGAAAAAGTTATTTTCACCTCAGCAGAAAAATTTAAAAATGAAGCAAACGTGTTTTTCAAGAGTAAGAATTGCAATTAACAGAATAGTTATGTTTATATATCGATAAACAACAAGAGAGAAACTTTTCCAGAACATTTTTCTCACATCTCAACATAACCTCATTTTTTGAGAATAAAATAATACTCTTATTAATTAAATATATTTCAATTTTTCAAAGATAAGGAATATGACCGAGCAATTGAAATGTACACCAAAGCAATTGAATTGGATCCAAAGAATGCAGTCTACTATGCTAACAGAAGTTTAGCACATCTTCGACTGGAAATGTTCGGATCATCTTTGGAAGATGGTAATTTTTCTTTTTGTTTATTAAAATTGTTAATTAATTTTTTTTTCAATTTATTTATCTAGGAATTTTAGCTGTTAAAAATGACCCAACTTATTTAAAGGTAAGAGAATGTTTTTTTCAAAACGAACAATATTGAAAGTATTATTTTTAGGGTTATTATCGTCGTGCAGCGGCTCAAATGAGTTTAGGCAAATTCAAAAAAGCCCTGATGGACTTTGAATTTGTTGCAAAGAGGAGACCTAACGACAGAGATGCGGCCATGAAGTACTCTGAGTGTAATAAACTAGTGCGAAAAGCTGCTTTTGAGAAGGCCATTTCAAGCGACATCCCTGAAAAAACACTAGCCGAACTACATAGCGACTTGGATTCGATTGAAATTGAAGATGATTACGATGGACCAAAGCTAGAAAATGGGAAAGTTACCCTTGAATTCATGGAGAATCTCATGGAGTATTATAAAGACCAGAAGAAACTGCATAGAAAATACGCGTATAAGGTTACTTTACTTTATATTAATTGTCCTAAAAGTAATTAGGTTGTTACTTATTAATGTATACTTAATTTCCATCAATAATATGAATTACAGATTTTGTGCGAAATAGATGTCTATCTCCGCAGCCAACCATCTTTAGTCGACATTACAGTTCCAGATGAATCAAAATTCACTATTTGTGGTGATATACATGGGCAATTCTTTGATCTTATGAATATCTTCAAGTTGAATGGACTACCCAGTGAACACAATCCGTTAGTTTTTCAGTGGAATTTTATTAAAACTAACATAACTAATTAGCTTTTATTTTTAGGTACTTATTCAATGGTGACTTTGTTGACCGTGGTTCATTTTCAGTCGAATGCATTTTTACTTTGTTCGGTTTCAAGTTGTTATACCCAAACCACTTCTTTCTATCACGTGGAAACCACGAAAGCTACAACATGAACCAAATGTACGGCTTTAGTGGCGAGGTAGTTGCAAAATACACCAATACAATGTCAACGATGTTCACCCAAGTTTACAATTTTCTGCCACTGTGCCATTGCATAAATAAACGTGTACTGGTGATGCATGGGGGACTATTTGCACAAGATAATGTTACTCTGGATGATTTGCGCAATATTGAGCGAAATCGTCAGCCACCTGAAGAAGGTTTAATGTGTGATTTACTCTGGAGTGATCCTCAACCCGGACAGGTAATAATTCTGCAGAAATTCAATACAGATGTTCATCTTTGAATTTTCACTTGTCAGGGACGCGGATTTTCCAAACGTGGAGTAGGTATACAGTTTGGACCGGACATCACCGAAAAATTTTGTACCCAAAATGGTTTAGATTACATTGTTCGCAGTCATGAAGTGAAGGCAATGGGCTATGAGGTTGCGCACGGTGGAAAATGTATAACGGTTTTCAGTGCTCCGAACTATTGGTAAATAATAAAGAAAAACTGAACTATGAAAACATGATTTTTACATCTTCAAATTATCCCCAGCGATACGATGGATAATTTAGGGGCATTCATCACGCTGAATGGAAAAGACATAGACAAACCCAATTTCACCACGTACCAGGCGGTGGTAAGTGAAATGACAGCATTACATTTTTTTTAGTCGAGTCTAGTTAATGGATTTTTTTAAAATTACAGCCCCATCCAAATGTGAAACCAATGGCATATGCAAGCAGTCTCATGAGTTTGATAGGATAGGATACTGTTCTCTTTAAAGGTTCAAACTGTAATAAATAAGCAATCAATATTGTGAAATCCAGGAAAAAACCAACAAATAAATTTTTAATATTAAACTTTTTATTGCGTTAATTATTTGAATTAATCAAAATCATATCATTCCATGTTTTATGATTGATTAATCTTTTTCGGAGATCGCGGTCAAATGAGTGTCGATTTCGTCCTCACCTAATATTCTGAACGTTGGGTCACTTCTGGTAACGATGCCAATTTCAATTTCGGATGCTTTAAAATCAACAGACAATACCGTTGACAAGCACGACATGGCCAGCTGTATAACTTCGTTTTCCTTCAAATCCGTACGCTTTCGCAATTTCTTCTCTAAATAACTGTTGGTTTCGGTCTTGGCACCGACGGAGACAGCACGAAAACCACAGTAATACCCAGCTGGATCGGCTTTGTAGATACAAGCGCCGTTTTCGTCATCGTAAGCAATCAGTATCATGCTACACCCAAGTGGGCGCATTTCAGCATTCTGGGTGTAAATCTGGTTGATATCAGCAACGCGACGACATCAACTGAAATATCTGTACCGTACTTATAGCACCAGTTGGCCGCTTCATACCGTGCTCGCTGAACTTGGAAACGACTGTCGGCAATTCGTCTGGTCATCACCCAGCCAATTGTCTTCGTTATACGGAACAAATGCGTAACCGTATTTGGATCGATCAATTTTTCCGACACCTTCTTCTCCGTGGCGACCACTGCGATGTCTTGACCCTTTACAGCAACTGAAGTCAGTCCTTCTTGGTTGATTGATTTAAATGTATATTCTATTTTAACAATGATTGAAAATTAAAAAAATGATCATTTACTGTGTCTTCATAACTCTGAAACATAACCACAAAATGATTTTCCAGACTTTAATGATACAACATACCCAAAGACTTACCGACTTGATATAATCTACCTTCCGGAGAAAAAATTATAATATGTCTGTCGAAACCAGCGGAACTACCACGCGACATCATCAATTTTTTGTAAAATTCAGATTCTTCGGAGAATTTGTTTTGGTGTTTTACTTCAATTCGAGTTTGCTCAAATTAAACAATCTTTTAAAGCAAGTAGCTCTGCTTAAACAACAGATGACAAGCGAAAGAGTGGATGTCACTCACTAGTACAAGATATTTCCGACAGATGTTGCCGAATCACATTTGTCAATGAGAGGGGACGCGACAACATTGTTTCCGCCAAACTGAACTTTGTGAATCAAGTTAATAATAACATCTCTCCATAGTTTTTCGTGTAGAAGAAGGGAATAAGAATGTAAGTATTTCGAAATTATCAGAAAAATAGCAAACTTAATATGAGTTATATGGAAACCGTAAAACATTTACGAAGAAAATTCATCTTTTAACTCTAACTTGAACAACATAAGGTCTTTGAATAAGCCCAAATCCGAATTAACACCAGACGAATTAGCACGCCAAGAGGAGGAAGAGTTCAATACTGGCCCACTGTCTGTCCTAACTCAATCTGTGAAAAATAACACACAAGTTCTCATCAATTGCCGCAACAATAAGAAATTATTAGGTCGTGTAAAAGCCTTTGATCGTCATTGCAACATGGTTCTTGAAAGGTATTTTTGTTTGTTTATTTGTTTTTTCTCTTGTCAGTCGATCTATTGTGTGTTTATATTTTATATATTTTTCAGCGTTAAAGAAATGTGGACTGAAATTCCACGAACAGGAAAAGGGAAGAAGAAGGTCAAACCCGTTAACAAAGATCGATTCATTTCGAAGATGTTTTTGAGAGGCGATTCTGTCATTTTGGTCCTGCGTAATCCACTCGCATCATCCGCTAAATAATTGATAATAATCAATCTCTAATACAGAAATAAAAACAAAACTAAATAAACATAAAGTTAATGAAACGAATTATTTTGGTTTTTTATGTAAACGCATTCTGAAAATTAGAGATATACTGATACGACATTTCGTTCATTGAAATTTGTCCACTACTATATAGAAATATAGATCTGTCAAGAGTGAAGATAGTAGGGTTATGTTAAATTTAGTTCCCGAATTCGTTGTCGACTATCAGACGTTTATTGTGATCTCGAAACATTTTCTGCTCCCAAGCTAAAATCCAACCATGGAATCAAATATTTTCAAATCACAAGTATTTCACCTTTTTATTAGTAATCCAACAGTTGAGAACGCTAAAATTTTAAAGCATTTCATAAATGCGCAAACATATGCAATTTGTTTCGCCGGTAAAGAAAACTTAGTGCTAACAGCGTTGTTCACAGTAATCGGAGACATGAATGTTCGGTAAATGAATTGACTTTAGATAAAGAATGGTTTTTACATCGAATCCAAAAAATTAAAACATTTCAGGAATAAAGATGACATTATATGTAACCTTATTGATGCGGCCAACAATTTAATTTCAAATTCCAAATTGAAGACTGTAATTTCAGTTCATACAATGCTTGTGATTTTGTTAAAGCACATTGGTTTGTGTCCTTCATATATGCTAACGCAAACAATGAATACACCACCAGAGGAATTGCAATTAGCAACAATCAACTGTTTTGAGATTATATTTCTAAAAATCACTTCAGAAGTTGTTGAAAAGATCTATATTAAAGAAAATTTGAACCTATTAGCTCAAGTACTCTCGATAAGTGAAAATATTTTAGCAAATGGAGTATGTGGGCCTTTAAGGTAAGTCGCCTACCTTTATAAAACTGATTTGACACCGATTGAATGTTGAAAAAAATCTTTTTTTTATATATTTTGAATAGAATTGCTGCCGTAAAGTGCATTATGAGTTTATTTCAGGTGCACGATGCAACTGATGAAAGAAATACCAAACAGCGTCAATACATAGCTGATGTAGTGTTTGTTCTTATTCCTAAAATTGTCAGGACTCTTACTAATATTGCTGTAGGGAGTAACACTCTTAGTGAAACCCTTAAAATGGTGAATTCATAAACCTTCCGTGTTCAATACAAACAATAAATGAATACGTTTTTGCTCTTTTCCAGTACTCAATTATTGCTCTGGCGCGTATTTTATGTCTAATATTTGAAGATGAAGTGGTAGAACCAAGCTCAAATGAAAATATGAAATATCTAGTAGAAACATCATGGGTTGGAAAATCTTCAAACCTCCAAAGTTCAAATACTTTCGAAAACTCAGGTACGAAAAATTCATTTGGAATAAATAATACAATATCGACTATTCCACACGAAATCAGTTAAGAATTGGATCGACCATCTCAGAATTTGGTGAAAATTTGCATTGCGTCTTGTTTTCGAAAAAATGAAAAAACCAAAATCTTGGGGCTATCAGTGGCCCACATTGTCGAGTATGCCTAGTGTAAAATTTTCGAACAAGTCGAAAAATCTAAAAAAGTGGGTTTGCGCTAACTGAAATCTATCTGAGAAGTTGAGACATTGCCAAATCTATAGTGCCGTTGAAAAGGGAATCGATGAGGCTACAAAAACCGCGAAGTCACCTACCCCATTCGACCCCATTGGGGCCTCCAAAAATGGGTTCAAAGTATAGAACGTGGAATATATCAAATGGGTGTATCATTTTTTGTCGATTTTTTCGCGTCAACAGATAGCCCATGTCGCGTCGCTTCAGATAAGCCTAGGGGGAAAGATCAATTTTTTTTCCTCTGAATAAGCCTCAATATAACAAATAATGATAATTTGTAACGATCCTATGACCTTTTACAAATATTTAACCGATATTTAATATTTCGCCGACATACCAATATTTCGTACTAAAATTGGTAGAGATATTTAGGTGAAGCGCACTTAAGCTATTGCTCAAGTATCGCGTACTTAGGCCATTGCTCGAGTACCGCGTACTTAAGTACTTATTTATCAGCAAACTTATCATGTCATTTCTAGTGTCATTTATTTCTAGACCAGTACTACGGCATGTAATCATGAACTAAACATAATTTCGTAAGATAATTCATATGTGATTGTTCATAGCTACGTTTATAGAAAATAGTAATTACAAATAAATGTAGGTTCTGGTTTCTATTAATTTTTTCATTTCATGCATAATCAGTTTTCAAAGATTCGTTTGATATAAGAAGCAGATACAGGTAGAAGTATAGCGTTCGATACAGCGCTTTAACCAAAAGTACGTGGCACTTAAACGTGAATTTAAACGAATTCGCTGATGTATTGTTATTTTTCAAAAATAAGCGTTTATCTGCATATTGGCAGATATCGGTGTACATCGGTCTCTATTGTTCTATATTTTTATGTTGAGTTCACATTAAATGTACACGATTGACACGAATATTCAATTTATTTGACCAATTCACACCAATATACCAATGTATAACGATGAATAGCCAATAACATAGATAATAGCGTACGACCAATTGATCTTTCCCCCTAGAGATAAGCAATTAAAATTCCGTGTATTACCCTGACTAAGTTCGTGTATTTGGCCTCGGCAGGAAAATAACCCCAAAAGTTATGAAAAACCTGATCTTTTAGTGTTTGTACAATCTAGGGTATTTTTATACAATAGGTAGTAATATTGTCTTTTCTCGATTGGTATAAGAGTTTATTCTGTAAAAGCTCTGACACCAAATAACCTAACCGATACATGGAAATACATAGGTAGCCGAAATATAAAAGGTCCAATATAGCCTAACTTAAACGTGTAAAAAATGAAAGACTAACTGAAGCGTTAACACTGTAGTGACCCTTGGCTGACGGCCCCGATGACTGCAAAAGTCATCATTCAATTTATCCAGAGAAGATACATTGAAGAAAACATTTACGTCTTATCTAACAAGTCCCTGTTGGTAGTTATGAATTTGTAATTTAGTAGAGACCGAAAGACATGAGAAGAAATTTACAATATCCGCAAATGCATTGGCAAAAAAGGTAGTTTCCATTATGAAGTAACAACCGGTCAAAAATTAATCACCAACTCAAAGGATGGCTTTATCACAGTCAATGTTGCTAATACCATCAAATTGTATAAAACAAAAGATCAGGTTTTTCATGACTCGTGGAGTCATTTTCCCGCAAATCAAATTATTCAGCCAGTTTTTGGCGGTGTAAATAAATAAATAAATATATAATTATATTGCGTTTCTATAAATATTTGGGTAAAAACCACAAATAAATATCATTATTCCTATACATTTTGTAGGGATGTAATTTATTTATTTATTTAACACCGCCAAAAGACTGGCTGAATAATTAGTTTTGCAGGAAAATGACTCCAAGAGTCATGAAAAACCTGATCTTTTGATTTTTGAACAATTAAGTGTATAACAATAGATCAATGGGTAACAGCATTCTGTCAATCGTATGGAAATACGACAACAATTTGTCTGCATCCAACATAGTTAGTTTTGCGATTATAGTGGCGCTGCAATGCTCAAGTATGTAACTGTATTCGAAGAAGATCCACACAAAAGGGAATGAAAAATTTTCGTTATGATTTTTTTCTATTGAATTTTTTTGAATTTATTTTACATTACAAAAACGACTACTGCGGCGCTGCGAACGTTATGACAGGTATAAAAGTCAATTGTTAGCAGGCATTGCAATAGATAGTTTAATTTTACATTAATATTGGTTCTCGACTGGCTAAAAGAAAACCTAGTTTATGCGAATGACCAAACAGGAAAATGTCTAATGAAAGCTGATTGTCAACGGTTCAAGATAATCTAACAACGCGTTTGAGAAAAGATAGATTAACTGGAGCGTTAAACATATTAATGTCGGTGTCAATGATTGCAAAAGTCATCGTTCAATTTATCAAAGAGGTGATAAATTGAAGAGAAGTTTTACGTCTAATCTAAAAAAGACCCTGTTGGTAGTTTCGAATTTACAATTCATGACGAGACCGAAAGATATGACCAATTTGAATGAATTAAGTATGAACATAACTCAAATAACTATTTTCCATTATAAAAAAATAAATAATAGGTCAAATACAATCACCAACTCAATGGATGGCTATATCACAGTCAGTGTAGCTAAATTTACGATAAATTGGTGTGAAAATCACAGTTTTACATCATTAATTCTATACATTTTGTAGGGATGAAAGAAAACAACTTGTCAGTATTTTATATTGAAAATTTGGCTGTGTACGCTTCGTACCGATGTGATGAATCCTGCACGGCTAGTTGAATTTCTCAGTGGATCAGCCAACTTATTTGCATATTTGCACATTTGTGGCACTTGAGCTCTGATTTGTTTGTCCATGAGCTTGTCTTTGATTTTTAGGTAGACGGTGTGCCATAACGTGCGTACGCGATATTCTCTTCGGGCGAACTGTGTGAACTTTCTCAAAACGCTCTCGATTTTGTCGATATGTATGGCATAAGTTGGTAGTCATACAACGTTACAGTGCTCTAGATGAGACTGAACCAGTGCGTAATACAATGTTTTGAGCGTTTGAACATCGGTTATGTCGTAGCAAAATCTGTTGATGAATCCAAGGGCCGCTGTCGCCTTCGATGTTATCGCGTCAATGTGCTTGATAAAGCTCAGCTTCTGGTCAATGATGATGCCGAGATCTTTGTGGTCCGATACGCGCTTGAAGGTGCAATCACCATATTTGTAATTTGTATCGATAATGTCCTTTTTCTTCGTGGTGATTGTAAGGACGGCACATTTGTCTAGATTTAGGTGCAAATTGTTTACGTCGCACCAAACCTTCAGCTTGTCGATGGCTCGCTGTAGCACTGCAGCATCCGAACTCGAGTGGATGATTTTGGCAACCTTCACATCATCAGAGAATAAAAGGAAATGAACACGTCGTCCATTTCGTTCAGTATGTCGTTGATGAACAGCAGAAATAGTATGGGCCCGAGAAGACTTCCCTGTGGTACGCCAGATGAAACGCTGAATTCTTTCGAATCGCTGTTTCTATACTTAACAAATTGCGTTCTGTTTGACAGGTATGATTCCACCCAAACAAGAAGATTGTCTGGCAGATTGAACGATCTGAGTTTTAGAATCAATCTTTTGTGGTTTACTCTGTCAAACGCTTTATTGAAATCCGTGTAGAGAACGTCCGCTTGCTCACCAGAATTTATGCCTCTCTGGGCATAGTAGGTAAATTCGGTGAGATTAGATGCAGTGGATCTGGATTTCATAAAGCCGTGTTGCTTTTTGGTGATTTTGTCCTGTACCAGTGACAGAAGTTTGAAGTTCACCAAATGCTCGAAGAACTTCGCCACAGTTTGGAGCTTAGCAACGATAGTTTTCAATTTTCGATCTCGCCCTTTTTTGAAAATGGGTGTTACACTCGAGCCCTTCCATTTGTCGGGGAAATGGCCAGTCCACAATGGTTCGTTGAAAATGTCGGTGAGTGGAGCCGCCAAATGGCCGTGAACACCAAGAAAGGTACGGGTCCCGATGGTATGCATCCATTGATACCAAAATACTGTGCCAGTCATTTGTTATTATTATTATTCTGCACCATACAGCGTTTCTTCGCCAGAGGTGGTTTATTTGATATAAATATTTGGTTGCATATTTACAATATGTATTCTTATTTTCTTTAGTTTCTCCAAGTTCTAATTTTTCTGAAATAATCGGTTATTCTCTGTTTGACAGTATCTGTACTAACATTAAAATCAATTAAATATGTATCACAAATTGGAATAGTACTAGTATCACATTCATTAGTTTGATTAGGCGGTTTGATAGGAACAAAATACTTATAAAATTCATTGTATGTGGTTAACATGAAATTGATCGGTTCAAACATTGAATAGTTGTATATCCTAGTCGGCAGTGACAGAAATTCAGTGTTTCGTGTTCGATGTCGTGGCGTTCTAAAGTTGATTTTTTCCATGATATACTTTGATGATATTTGGCCACAAATAACGTTGTGAATGAAGCAAATTTGTGCAATTTTTCTCCGTTCCTCCAAAGTGATCATTTGTAGAAATAGCAGACGATTGTTGTATTGTGGCAAAATAAATCTGTGTGGCCATTCCATTCTCCTCAGTGCGAACAGTAGAAATTGCTTTTGGACTGATTCGATTCTAGCAATTTTCCCATTGGTGTGTGGGTTCCATATTTGCGATCCATATTCAACGATTGGCAATACGAATGTGAAGAAGAGTTTCTTTATAGTGCAAGGGTCATTGAAATCTCTTCCAAAACGCTTTATCCACGCAAGTCTAGTTTTGGCTCTAGCAGTTATATACTCGATATGTGCGCTAAAGTTCATTTTTTCATCCAAAATTACTCCAAGGTCCTTTATTATTTTGACTCTGTCAATCAACTTCCCTTCGATAGTGTACTTGAAGTCAAATTTCAGCTCACCACGGTGATATGATACGTAATTCGTTTTTTTTTTGACGTTCAAGTTCATGCGATTACGTTTGAAATAATCAACAACTCCATTCAAGTCGGCCTGAAGTGCGAAGCAGTCATCATGTCGCTTTATTTGCATTGAAAAACGAGTGTCATCGGCAAACGATTGTAAGATGGAGTTCAATAGACAATGTGGCAAATCAATGATAAACAGGACAAACAGTGTCGCTCCGATCGGATATCCTTGACCTGTTCCTGATTTTACTTCAATGCGATTCGACATGACTTCATTCAATTTAACTATTTGTTGACGCTCACTCAGATATGATTTTATGGGAAAATCCCCTTTGTACACGATTTTGACATTTTGTACATGAATCGGACATTTTGTACACGAATGTGACATATTATACACTGATGAATAAAATTGTCATTTTTGTATCTGAATTGATCGGTAAGAATTATTTTCACCACAAGATGACTTCAGAATTGACAATCTATATACATAAAACTGAATGTCCGTCTGTCTGTCTGTCCTACTTTTTTTTATTTTCACGATTTTTTAATTCTTAGTTTTGTTAATGAATATGCCGTTAGAGTTCTCGCGGATTAAATAGTAGATTCACATATCAGTTTTGATTTTCGAATTGAATTTTCAGAAGTTTGTAGAAAAAATGTTTTAATTGTTTTTCGATACAACGTACATTAATGTGGATTGATGGCAATGAAATATTATATGCGTATTATTGTAAAAGAGATTTATTTCATGTAAAAATAAATAAAATGAAAAAATTCATAATTCGCGTTAGGACAAACAATACATGAGTGAAATTTGTTTTGAATGAAAGAGACTTAAAATGGGGAAAAGAAACAAGTAGATTGGCTTCAGATAGATTACACAGTGCAACATTTTTCCGGTCATGGAGGAGGGACTCAGTTTTGAGAATCGCTTCTGAAAGTACTCATCAAAACTAGAAATTCTGCATCATTCGTTTTGCCAAGTTGGTTGACAGGTGAATTTATATGAATTTTTGCATTTTTGGCTCAAACTGGATTTTGAGCACTTTTTCGACATTTTCACTCGGTAAACAGTCAGGAATATTGTTTTTGTGTCTTCAGCAAAGTTGTAGGTAATGAATGGGAAAAAAAATGCAGAACAAACTTACCCCAAAAAATGCACCCAGGGCCTCAAAATCCCGAAAATGCCCATTTTTCACCATTTTTTACCATTTTTCAACCATAACTCGCAGCGTATCCAATTTTTATGGCCACTATTTTCAGCAATTTTGTAGCCAACGTATAACTGGACAACTTTGCTCAACATACTAACCCAGAAAAATCATGTTCTATCTACCTTTTTGGCTCAAAATCACTCTTTCGTACCAAAAATGGTCATTTTGTTGTGAATTTTGGCCTATTACATGCAAATATCTATATATCTTTCCATATTTTTTGCTTGAATTTTTGTTAAAGTGTCTCTGCGGATAATGTGAACTCATTTTTAAGCTAGTTTAGTGGGAAAAATCACTCATTTGAAGGGAAATTTCGAGTTTTGAACCGATTTTTGAGCGTTTGGTGGACATTTGGCCAAATGAAGTCATGACAACAGCCATATTTCAGTTTCTTATGTATGCTACACTAAAGCATATGTTCACAGCTAAAAAATAAGGCCAATACGATTCACCTATGATGTCCAGTTTTGAAGTTATGGCTTCCCAAGTGATAACATATCGATTTTTTGCACTATTTTGGCACTAATTATCACTTGAGCAGCCATAAGTGCCCTACCAAATGTCATAGGCAGGTCGCATTAGCCTTATTTTTCAGCTATAAACATCAGCTTTAAAATGCCATACCGCCAAAACTGAAATAAATCATCTGTCATGGTCTAATCTGCCTCAATGTACACCACAACCTCCAAAAATGGTCCCAAAAATCATATTTTTCACTCATATACATTGGAAAACATCTTTAAAACTTACTCAAACATTGGTACAGATAATATAAGCTTGAATGTACTGTTTCTTTAATATTTGAGAGGAAATAAATTAATTTTTTTGGAAAAAATTTGGTTTTTGGACCAATTTTTGGTGGTTTGTCGAACATTGAGTCGTGACAGATGATATATTTCAGTTTAAGCGGTATGACGTTTTAAAGCTGATGTTCATAGCTGAAAAATAAGGCTAATGCGACCTGCCTATGACATTTGGTAGGGCACTTATGGCTGCTCAAGTGATAATTAGTGCCAAAATAGTGCAAAAAATCGATATGTTATCACTTGGGAAGCCATAACTTCAAAACTGGACATCATAGGTGAATCGTATTGGCCTTATTTTTTAGCTGTGAACATACGCTTTAGTGTAGCATACATAAGAAACTGAAATATGGCTGTTGTCATGACTTCATTTGGCCAAATGTCCACCAAACGCTCAAAAATCGGTTCAAAACTCGAAATTTCCCTTCAAATGAGTGATTTTTCCCACTAAACTAGCTTAAAAATGAGTTCACATTATCCGCAGAGACACTTTAACAAAAATTCAAGCAAAAAATGTGGAAAGATATATAGATATTTGCATGTAATAGGCCAAAATTCACAACAAAATGACCATTGTTGGTACGAAAGAGTGATTTTGAGCCAAAAAGGTAGATAGAACATAATTTTTCTGGGTTAGTATGTTGAGCAAAGTTGTCCAGTTATACGTTGGCTACAAAATTGCTGAAAATAGTGGCCATAAAAATTGGATACGCTGCGAGTTATGGTTGAAAAATGGTAAAAAATGGTGAAAAATGGGCATTTTCGGGATTTTGAGGCCCTGGGTGCATTTTTTGGGGTAAGTTTGTTCTGCATTTTTTTTCCCATTCATTACCTACAACTTTGCTGAAGACACAAAAACAATATTCCTGACTGTTTACCGAGAAATAGCCTTGTGAAAATATCGCAAAAGTGCTCAAAATCCAGTTTGAGCCAAAAATGCAAAAATTCATATAAATTCACCTGTCAACCAACTTGGCAAAACGAATGATGCAGAATTTCTAGTTTTGATGAGTACTTTCAGAAGCGATTCTCAAAACTGAGTCCCTCAATCATGTGTTGCACTGTGTTAGCTTGGAAGAGAATTGTTTAAGCTTGGAACACTGATTTAAAAACAACCAGACACAGAAAGGTATTAATGGTTTCTAAATGTTTATAGTTGTTATCACGTCACGACAATGTACTCATTTTGAAATAAAGAAAATGTATTGCTTTCTTCAATGCAAGAAAGAATTATGCGGTGGAACAGAAAATGGCTCTGAATTCGAGTGAAAAATAAAATAAAATAGATTTATGATAGGTGATGATGATGAGTGACTGGAAAATGAAAAGTGTCGAATAATACAATGAAAGATAAATAGAAAGAACAAGCGAGATATTGGGAAACCAGTAGACCGAGAGAATAAGAGATCAGGGGAAATGGAGAGAGAGAGAGAGAGAGAGAACAGAATCGAGAGAAAAATGATAATAAGAATAAGAAAGTGAAAGAGTGAATGATTGGATAATGTGAAAATAGATCGAAGAACACTAGGTGATGATTGAAGGATGGGTGAAAAAAGAGAATCAATCGAAATATTGATGGAAATTTACAAAAAGTGATGAATTCATTGATGATGAATAGATAAATGAAGAGAGGAAATTTAAAACGATGGTAGATATATAGATAGATAACTATAGTTGATGGTTGATGCCTGGAAGATGAAAAAGTGACGCAGTGACTAGCGTCCGAGCCGAGCGAAGCGAGAGACAATAAGAAGACAGATATCGCGTGTAAAACCAATTCCAGAAAGTGGAGCAACTTTCCCATAGAAATCTTTGGCTTTGAAAAACAAAGTATTGAACATACGAAATGGATACGGGATGAGTAGCGCTTTTTTATTATCAACATCGTGCAAAATGAATTGAACGGTTACACGTTACAAGAGCTCATGGTTAGTAGGACGGATAATCGAGATTGTACTGTATTTTTCTGAATACGCAGGGATAGTAAATTTATATATTCCAAATTCAATAAAGATTTAAATTAAATTTAATACGGACAGACTAACATTCAAAATCAAGGCGTCGCGAAGCGACCTAACGCCGAAGCCGAGCGAAGCGAGGCGAGGCCGCTAGTTCCGTATATTTGAGTTAAAACAAATTGAAACAGGTTGCAATTTCTTATCACCACTCTGCCTATGGCATATAGGGCTGCCTGGATTTCCGCGCGCTACGCGCGCGGGGAAGTCTTGATGTTCCCCGAACATGTAAAATATTAATCAGCAAAAATACAAACAGATAAAATAACGAATGTCCATAATATGCAAATTCCGTTTAAATATATTTATTAGGTTGAGTTTTAGATAACTGAAAATATTTATACTTCATTCGTTAAAACAACCGCGTGTGTAACTTCAAAAAGCAAATTATGACAGTATGCAAAGCACCGTGGAAACTAGGAAACATTTTGGAGTTTCAAATTTATGTTTCACGAATAATATTCTACTCGCTTCAATCGCAATTCTACTGTCCACAGAAGCAAAAACACCTCTCCCAAACTTTATATACCACCTGTTAATATTCTATTTATGTTGCTGAGAATAAAAATGGGAGTATAGGAGTGTTTGAACTGAAGCGCAACATAAATCCGATGACTCAATAGAAACGCATCATCAAAATGGAAGTTTCGAATGTGGTTTTAGCATTTTTCCCAAAAATAATAAGAATTAACGAAATGTAATCTTCAACAAAGTTATGAAATCGGTGAAGTCACAAAACTTCGCTGAATCTACTAATTCATTGTCACTCATCATTTTCGCAAAAAAACACAAAAAATCACATTCCAAATTCCCATTTTTCCTGGTGCATTTCTCAATTCATGTTGCGTTTATAAGAAACCAATTTCATATTGCGCTTCAGTTCACTTTTGCTACTATTATATATTATATATACGAAAATCCCATTCGTGTACATATTGTTTGATCAGTGTACAAAATGTCAAATCAGTGTACAAAATGTCAAATTAGTGTACAAAAATCGGTGTACAAAATGTCACATTCGTGTACAAAATGTCCGATTCGTGTACAAAATGTCAAATCTTTGTACAAAATGTCAAAATCGTGTACACTGATTAGTGTACAAAATGTCACATTCGTGTACAAAATGTCAAATCAGTGTACAAAATGTCAAAATCGTGTACAAATATCCAGGTCCCTGATTTTATCCATTTTAACAGCTGTCCATTCCATGGGTATTGAATGTCATTCAACGCCACTAAGCTGTAGACATCTATCTCCGGCTATACGGCAAACAACAGAACCAACACTGAACATGAAAATGACATGTTCAATTGTGTTTGTTTCGTTAGTTT